ACGCCTACGCATCATGGGTAGCACACATGATGGCAACTACGTGAAAGGTGGGGGGGTGTACTCATGGTCGCCATCGGTAGGGGGCGGGGGGGGGGGTTCAACGAACACAACGGGACTGTCACCAGTTGCCGTCGAGGAGCAAGGATCATTAACTCTCCTACACCGCTGCTGTCGAACTACTGGGTTTCCTGAACAGACGCGAAAGATGACCAAGAGATGGGTATGGGCCGAGAGAGGGAGAAACCGAAAGAGAGAAGAGAGATGCGACGAGAGGAGCAGTGCCACCCACATGGCACCACATACCATGCAAACGAAGGTGACAAAAAGCCAAGACTCCACCACAGCAGAGCCAGCAGCAGCAGCAGCAGCAGCAACAACAACCAACGACGAAGAAGAAGTGGCACGTAAAAAAAAAAAAAAAACACTGGCAGCCAAGGCGCAACACAACCCCCCACAGCAAACAAAAACATACGTGCGCCTAGGCCCAACGGCGACAGCAACGCGACAGCAAAACCAATCAAAAAGAACACACGGATATAATAAAAACGGCCAACACCCAACAGCAGTCACCCAACACCAGTAGGGAGTCAGGAGTTGAACACCTACGCTTAGACCAACCCTTAATCGATGTCCTTACCTGACCAATGCTTCTAGAAGGGACAGCTGCTCCTTCGTCTGCTCTGGCAGAAGCCTCCCCATCGATTCCTCGATGCTCCGGTAGGTCGCGTTCAGCTGGACCATCAAGCTCCCCTGGCACGTAACACAGAACGACAACGCTTACTATCTTGTCTTGAAACACTTGTGGAATGGGTGACAATATAGCAACACGGCGTTGTTGTCCGCACCATCCGGCAAGCAAACATGTAACACGGCCCTCTATTTCAATGGGTCGGCATTTTCTGGATATACAAACGAGTGGATTTTTGGCTCTGCGAGATTGTGAATGAATATTTGTCACAGATGGTTCAGCACAGTACAGCCCGGTGATTTTCCAATTTTTTTCTCCATGCGGTGGTGATACTTGAGTACTTCGTATGTGGATTTTCGGGAGACAGTAGCGCTTGGCCTTTTGTAAAGCCCGGGGGAGGATATGCTGGACAATGGGGCTTTCTCGCGACGGTTTTTCCAATATCGTATGGCTGTTCTCCACGCAGGTATGTGAAACATATGTGGCTCTTGGCCTTTTACAAAGCCCCGGGGCGGGTGTTCTGGACTATCCGGCTTTGTCGTGATCGATGCCATGTGGCGGGTTGTTCGCGGATTTAGCTCTCAACCAGGCGGCTCCACCTGCTACAAAGGCCAACCCACGCACACACGCACTCACTACACCTCGGCCAAGTCGACATGTGCTCTGTTCTGGACCGTTTTTCGGACCGTTCTCAAGCCACGAGGAAGACCAAGCCCGCCAGTGCTTCCCCCTACCCCGCCTCACCGCAGCGCTTCATCAAAGTACTCGGCGACCTTACCGATATCGATGGGGAGAGTGCTGCACCGGTGACCTAGCTGCTGAAAGAGACTTCCCAAGATCGGAGATACTTTATGGCCAGCTGGACGCGCCCTTCAACGGTAGCATTCTATTCCCTCACAAGGGCCCGCCCCTGGCTCACGACTCCGGAGAGCAGGTGCCGGCGGACGCCTGTGTTCCTTCGACAGAGCACGCGCGTCTTCCGGCGGTGGCTCTCCGGAGTCGTGAGCCACGAGCGGGCCCTTGCGAGGGAATAAAATGCCCCCGTTGAAGGGCACGTGCGGCTGCTCCTAAAGGTAACTCCGATCTTGGTTATCTTTGTTCAGTTGCTCGCGGGTGCTGCCCTCTCCCTGTCGATGCAGTCGAT